GCTGACGTCGACTTTGGCGCTTGATTTTGAGCAGCAGCTTTTAATTTTTATTTTAATTTTTTATATGCGCATTTTTATGAACGCTATGTGGTGAGAATATGTTAATTCTATTGGCGTGTTTGTGACAGCCAAACAGCACACATCACATTTGAAGTTTCTGCCGCTAATAAGCCAAATATTGAATGTGCCACACAGTACGGAGCCCTACGCGTGCTTCGAACTACAAGATTATATTCAAAGCCTTTAGGAAAAAAAATGTTGGCAACATAATTAAAAAAATATTTCTGTTTGTTATCTATTTTAATTTCGACTTCAAGCTCAGCTTAGACCTACCTGGCAAGGTTGGCCAACAATATGTACATCAAATTTAAATAATGCAAGTTAGCAACTTTTCCATATTTTACCTGAAATTACTTTGAACCATGTATTTTATTTCAACCGGTTCATATTAGTAAAAGTAATAATAATAATAGTAATAATAATAATAATAATAATAATAATAATAATAATAATAATAATAATAATAATAATAATATTAAAAATACTAATAATAATAATAATAATAATAATAATAATAATTATAATAATAATAATAATAATAAAAATACTAATAATAATAATAATAATAATAATTATAATAATAATAATAATAATAAAAATACTAATAATAATAATAATAATAATAAAATAATAATAGTAACAACAATAATAATAATACCAATAATAATAGCATAAATTAAAATAAATTTAAAAAATTATAATTGTAAATAATATTGACAAATTATGTATATAATTACATGAGTGAAAACCATCACCTGGTTTAGTTCATACAAATGGAGTATATATGTCTCTAGTGCATGGAACATAATCATTATTATTTTTAATTTAATTTTTATTTTACTATACTTAACAATTATAAAAACTATCAATAAAAGTAACCATAAAAAATATACTATTAATAATAATATATATATTGCATTTGAACTACATTATTTTATTATATTCCATTTGATTTTATATATTTTTTTAATTTTATGTGGCTAAAGAGTAATATTAATAATTACAATAATAATAAAAAGTAAAAATATTATTAATAAGAATAACAATAAATAATAATAATAGAGATCTAGTATAATTCACCTAGTTACATTTTTACAGATAGGGTATATTAGTATGCGGCGCACAAAGCATCACGTTTTATATATTTTATTTTTTATTTTACTTTACTTTCTTTTATTTTATTCTATTTTATTTTATTTTATTTTATTTTATTTTGTTTTATTTTTATGTGGCTTGTACTTGGCTTTTACATGCACAGACATCCGCAGTCGCGTGTGTGTGCTCTTTTTAGTCGCTGTGGGGCTGGTGGTGCTGCTGGCGGTGGCGCTGCTGCTGGTGGTGGTGGTGCTACCTGGCTTAGCATTTTGCGATGCATAATTAATCTGTGTGGCCGGGATGCGATTCTAGCCAGGCATGCAGCCACCTTGGCACTTCAATAAAAATTTCTTTATTTTATTTTTAGTGGAGCTTTTGAATAATGTTTTCATGTATCTGATGTAACTTTTGGGCTTTGCCTGTGGCAACTGTGGGGGACCACGTAAAAGTGCAAAATTGTGACAGGCACGCTTGAGTACCGCCCCACGTTGCCATGTCCCTGCCGCTAGCTGACTGTGGCGGGGGTGGTGCATAGGTATTGTTTGTAGAAACAACTTGACGCAGCAGCAGCACCTTCAACCCGCTTCTCCTCTCACCCAGCGGGCGTTAAAATGGGGGTAATGACTTCTGTGGTTACCTGTTGGTAGGAAGGGTGGGAGAGCGAGTTGACTGCACACTCAAGAGTTTGGTGCAACATTTTCGGCTGAGCTGGTCGAGCATCTTAAGCCGGCATAGAGAGCATAACAGATGCGCCTCATTATGAACCCTTTCGTCTTTTTGGCCGCTTAGCTATGCATGGGCGGTCGCCTTAGCCATTGTTGCGTGGCCTTTTTAATTGGCCAGCTCTGCTACCAAAAATTCGCATTTAATTATGTGCAAAACAAAATGAAAATAAAGAAAAACACATTACATTTTTAGTTTCAGGCAACTGCGAGTAAAAACAACAAAAACACGACAAAAAAAAACTGCTTAATTTTCGAGAGTGTTTGCTTAGATTATTTCATTAAATGGCGCGGGCGACAAAAGGCGGCTGGAACAGCAGTCGGCGCTTGGCCTTTGTGCCGGAACAATGCCAAAAGCAAAGGCAAACAAAAGTGTTGAAGCTAACTTGGCCGAGACTCCTAGACGTCTGCCATAAACGCGCAGCTGCTTGCTTGGCCAGCATCGCCGTCGTAGTGGGAGCGTGCACTTAATTAAAGATAAGAATTAACTGCTGATTAGTAGTTCTTCTTTACACTTGACACTCTGTAGTGCCCGGAGGGGGCCAGCCAGCCAGCCAGCCAGTCAGCACGAGTCCGGCTGGCCAGCCAGTGCTAGTCCAAGCACGTAGCCAACTTGAGTCCAAGGCAGCAGCACGACCCACGAGCACCAACAGCCCCGTCCACCCCAGCCCATGCTGTGTTAACGAGTTTTTATTTTTGTTTCAATGCTGGCCCAAAAGTTTGCGTTTAATGTACCCAAATGATTTATGTATGCCCACCCATGTATCGCACACACACCCCACACACATGTAGCCAGGGAATACCGATGCCGCCTAAAAGCGTGCTGCAATATTTTTTTTAAGTCGCGCCTTTCATATGCGTTAATTGATGTGGCCAATGCGCGTCTAGGCCTGGGGTTGTTACATAATTTAATGCGTCTACGTGTTAATCACAGCATTTAATGAACGACCTAACGTACCGCCACGTACCCAGACACAAATGCAGATACAGTTACCAGATACAGCTACAGATACAATCAAAGACGCAGCTGAAGACTGGGCACAGACAGCCATAAATATCGAAATGCTCGCTGGGCACGTTCGTCTTGGGGCTGGGGCCAAATGTTGGCTGGCACTCAGCTTAAATGGCTCATTTTCCAGTCATTAAATTTTGGTTGGGCCGCTGACCAATTTGAGGGCGCCAAAGGAGCTTAGAAAAATGTAACTACTATGGCCCAAAACTACAATATTTGTAGTCAAGATTCACAGCTTATTATTGAGTCTCGAGGCGGCGCTTGAAATATGTTGACAATGGCGCCAGCAACAAAGCTGCCAACAGTCGCACAATTGCCCAAAAATCTTACCCCGCACTCTCGCCCTCCACCACACACAGGACACCACTCACCCGACTTGGCTTAAGTCTGATTTTTTTTTCAACCCCTCGCGGCATTTGAGTTCTTGATTTACTTTGCGCTTTTTTGCTTATTTTTGAGCACATCAGCAAAACTTCGGCAATAGTTTTTTTTCTTCTGTGAATACCCTGTACCTATAGACAAAGCGTCACGCGAGGGTATATTGGAGTTGTGCTTTAGTCTTACTGATAAAAAGTTAAGAGCTTCTGACATAAGTAGTAGCCTAGCGGTGTTAGCTCATATGTATATCATCTCACGTATATCTAGTGCAAACTCATCTAACGGACTACTGGAAGGACATTTTCTCTCAAGCCTACTTCATTTGTCTCTATGTCTGTATAATCGATTCGATCTCAGAGATTATGAGAGCTTCACACTTTGCATTTCCTGTGCAGATAAAGTTTTGGCCAAATTATCGATAATTCCAAACTTTCAACTAAAATCGATAAATATCGAAATTCAGCAACATCTTGATTAAGCATAACTAAGAGGCCAAGAGACACTAAATTTAAATTAATACTAATTTAAGTGTTGAAAACCTGAACCCACTCCACTGAAAACGTAGACTTAAGTATTAAAATGTATCAAAGTATGCAAACTGCGGGAAAAAGAAGCGTTGTGTTTTGTAAAATATGTGACGTCAGATCTGAGCTGTACAGGGTATCTACTACTTGGGCTCCCAGGACTCAATCCCTTTTATTATATTTTTTTGACGTTTTTTCATTTGGTATTTATTTTTTTGTTGTTTTCCATTTCCTGGAGGGGAGTGAGGATGACAAATCAAAGCGTAACAAAGCAACAGAAACAGCAACGCGGTGGCAAGCTGCAGCGCAGAAATTTGACAATTTATTATGTGCCCTTTGACTTGCCGCTAGCTGCTGCGGAAATGTTAAATATTTGTTATTGCAGTCAAATGTTTTCCTGTTCAACTAAGACAACAATTGTTGTTGCCAGTGAAAACTATTAGCCGGCAACATAAATCTTCAAGCGATATGAAATCGCGACACTCACACACCGACACACACACAGAGGAACCACAAGAGCTTGGAGAGTGGGCCACACCCACTACTTTGCCAGAGCAACCACAACGTGGCCCGCACGCACGCCCAGACATGTCACAATTATGACAATTTCTGATGCATAACGTTGCATAGCGCTTTTAATGCAATAAACCAGCGGCTGCAGCAGCGTCATTAACACTGACAGCGGACCGCTGCCGGGGGAGAGGGGGGTGGGGGGGGGGAGTGTGTGTGTAAAGCGAAGGGGCTGGAGGCGTGGCAGCCTTTGTCGTGCACTAATTGTCTGGCTGTGGCCAAAATGTGCAGCACATGCAATGCTCCAATTCAGGTGTATGTCAGTTGGTCGCCCTCCCACACACACCGCAAAACACTTTGCAGGCAATTGTCAGTTCGCTACTGTTAAAATGAGGGAGGGGGAGGGGGCTTGCACTTAACAGCTGACAATGACAAGCGGTGCCAATGTTGCCATTAAGTAACTGGCCAAAACGCCATTGCAGGTTGCCTAAGCAACTCTGTCACTTGCGGTTGTTGTTGTCCGGAGCGGCTGCAGTTGCCGCCACCGCTGCTGCTGCTGCTGGCAGTTGGTTTTGACTTTCGAGCATGTCGCATCTCAGTTGATGATGTGCCGGATTGCGATTGGAATCTGGCGCGAAGCTGGCGGAAATCAATTAGCAATAAAATTGCCAAATCAAACATCAAATGTCCTTTGGGAATATGCAATATCAGCAGGAGGCGGCAGAGCAACAACAGCAACAAGAACAACATCCGCTGCTGTCAGCCATTTCCGGAAATAATTATGCGTAAGCAAAATGACAGCGCGAAATTTATGCGGCTGCCGCTGTGTGACACAACAAAAGCAAATGATGGGCCAGCTTACCTGCCTGGCACTTTGGCCTAGTCGTGTGCGTGTGTGTGTGTGTGCTGTTTGTTTGTGCTTGTCTCGCAATTTGTTGCACTTACTCACACTCAGCCTGCAATTTGAATTCTTGCAGCGATACCCAGCGTGCCCATTACCCCTGGCAACACCAGCAGCAGCTCTATCAGAATCCCTATCTCCATTATGGACGACCACTGTGGGGCGCTGGCAGCAACCACAACGGTGCTTATGCCAGCGCAGCCGGCGGCCATTCGGGCTATGGGTAAGTAATCCAAGTACCGCATCCACAGTCCAGCGTCGACCAACGCTAATGCAACTTTAAATTAACAGCATGGAGCCATCGATGGAGTATGAGATGCAGCATACGCCACCCTCTGGCAGCTATTCTTCCTATCAGCCTAGCGGTGGGAGCGCTCCTGCTCATCCGCCGCATCCGCCTCAGTCGTCGCCGCCGCCGCATCCACCGCATCCGCCTCAATATTATGCGCCCAAATCGCCACCCACCACGGCTGCCACCAAGAAGAAAAAGAGCTCCAGCTCTGTGATGTCGGCGCTGACGCTGCTCTCGTTCTTCTTTTTCGTGAATATGTTGCAGAGCTGCATCAAGGAGCATATCTCGGATATCAACCCCACCGTGATGGTGCTCACATCGTCGGGCAGTCGCAATCGCTTCAATAAATTAGCTGAAATGAACTCACGCGAACAAACCTCATCGCCGGCATCCACAAAAGCATCGGAATCGGCGGCATCTTGGCAGCAACAGCAGCAGCCTGCATTGGTGCCAGCAACCAGTTCCGCCGTGTTGCCCGTCATTGTTACACCAGCTGTGACGTTGCATACGCCGTATAGCAGTGGTCTGGTGACTAATAAGCCAGCTTCGCATACCCATTCGTATCAGCAATCGCCGCTGTCGCATCCACAACAACATTCTCATCATCATCATCAGCAGCAGCCGCAGCAGCAGGAGCAACAGCACCAACATCATGATGATGATTATTATAACGTGCATCGCACGCCCTCATCTTCCGCCGATTTCTATCCTAATCGCACACACATTGACCAGTCGTTGCGCCCCGACTTCAACGCCAACACGGACGCCGGCTCGGACTCAGACTCGGACTATTATCAGCATCACTATTACCCGGAAAGGGAGCGTCATCGGCATCATTACATGGACAGCGGCTGGGTGTTTGGCGCCAATGGTAACTCGTATTCGCAGTCGCATTCGCATCCGCATCCGTATTCGCATGCAGCTGGCAACAAACGTTACTCATCTTCAGCTTCGTTGGGCGCTCAGTCGGGCGTGAGCTCTTACTCGGATAATGCGCGGTACAGGCATGCCGATGCCGATGCCGATGCTGTTGATGATAATGATGATGATTATGATCAACGCTACAACTACAACCACAACAACCAGCGGCATCGTAATGAAGCTGCTGACCGAAGTCTACAACGTCCCATCGGCGATTCTTTCTACACGCGCAACAATTGAAAACGCAATTTCAGCTCAGATTTTTATGCTACAATAATTGTATTTATATATTAATATGAATACTTTGAATATTCTGAAATCAAATTGACAATATTCACAAATTATGTTAAATGCATATCATTCTATTATTTCTAAGCGACAATTATAAAATTCTATTTAAGTGAGCACCAAAAAGTATGCTACACAAAATGTGGGAATTTTTGGCTAATTGAAAATTATGAAACACCAATTATAAATATATCATGCCTTTTGCATAAAAATAAACAAATTTTAATTGATATGATGAAATCAATATTTGTTGTTATAAAAAGAAAAGTTTGCGTTACCCTAGCACATCCAAGTGCAATTTATATTACAGAGAAATCCAGCCAACTGAATTCTAATATTTTGATGACGGCTAAGCAAGCTTCAATTTCTACTAGCTTAACATATAGACATATTTGTTTATATGGTATAGCCAATTAACATTTACTATTTTATGCAGCCAATATTTATTACCAATTATTTTCTTTAACTTATCCTTCTGCTAGTGGCCTACGACAATTTTTAATTGCAAAAATAAAATAATAATATAAATTGTACCTAAAAAATCTCGGCGACCCACAGATAGCTATGGCTTTATTTTAAATATTATGCAAGAGTTTTCGTTTTTGTAAATCTTCGGAGATTTGTAGCTGTTCAAATAGGGTATAAATATGTTTGTTGTTATAATTAAAAGCAAACATTGTGTAAGGCAACAGGCAAAAAGAGCGCAAAAAGCGAACAAACAATGAAATGTTAAAGTTCTAATGAAAATAAATGCTAATTTGTTGCGCAACAAATTAAATGTGGCAAGCTCTGTGAACTGGGAGCTTAGACTTTATTTTATTGCCTGCCACAACTAAGTTGCACAATGTGCGTTGTGTGGCCACCACAGGCACAGACACAGGCGCAGGGACTGGTATTGCCACAGCGTACACCTTTTGTTGGGCCACCTTGCCACAGATTTTCTAATGCAAAGCTGTTGCACTTACAGCGCCTGCTACAATGCTTGCTTATTTCTTTATTTATGGCTTCTCAGTTCGCGAATGGCAATATAATTATTTCTAATGAGATCAGGCAAAAGGAAACTTGTCACTTAAATGAACACATTTCGTGCGCTTTAATATGCAGCACGCAATTTATGCGCCACACACACACACACACACACACACATGCACAATGGCACACAAACAATGCTATCAATTTCAACAACTTTGATTAAACGTCATTTACAGTTGCCACAAGCGGCAGCTGAGATTTGGAGTTGAGTGCTGCTGCACGCAATTGCTGTTGTTGTTGTAGCTGCTGCTGTTGCTGCTTCATTTGCAATTAAATGCATGATAAAAAGCCAACACACGAGCGCAGCAACTGCAACTGGAACTCCAACTGCAGCTGCATTTCGGCATCGACTGCACTCGCCTCGCCACTCAAAGGCGTAATTTAAAATTCTCTTGGCTGCCATTTGGACCGTGGACACCAACCCAGTGGCCCGCCCTTCTTTTGGTTTTGATGCCAGTGATATGCCTGTTGGAAAGCTGGTGCTGCCGACACGCGCCGTGACTGGAGTCTGAGTCCTTACCGCTGCGGTTGCACACGGTGCGTATGAGTTATGCCGCGACTGCGTGGCACCCAGCAAAAAATGAAGTTAATATAAATTTTACTTTAAAGCGCCGCCCATCTCATACGTGTACGTCTTATAGCTACCGCGAGTTTGGCTCCTATATATTTGAATAAATTTATGACTTTAAGTGCAAGCTTGCAGCTAATGCGTGATTTTTTGGAGCTTCAGCGGGGTAAAGGCAACGGCATCTGCGATGTTGCAAAAGACACGTGCCCTTGCAGCTCAAAAAATTTGAATAATTTAGTTGTTGTGCAAAGGATTGCTGCTTCTTAGGATATATTAAATTTGTCCTTATTTTAATATAGATGGGCTATAGTCTTGGCCCAACTATAAATATTTTTGCGGCTCGAAAGGATCCGCAATTGGCAGCAATGAAGAATCGTAGTTTTGCTTTTTTGTTGCTTGAAAAAATTATAAGTACCTTAAGCTGTTAAACCATATCAAGTAATTTTCCAATTAAACGGATAACTTGACTTTAAGATACTCTAATTTGAAAAGGTAGAAAAAAGTCTCTTTAAATTTGAACACAAAAATGGCAGCACTTAATAGATATAAGCGATAGTCTTCTTATTAAATTAGTATAAATAGCTGACTAAACTATATTTGAAATATGAAATATTATATTAATTTATTTATTGTAAGGTCTCAGTCACAGCACATCACAGATTTTTAATGTTCGCCGCCAAGACCCGAACCGATAGCAACGCCAAATGATGGAGGAATTTTAGAGAGAAAATAAAAAATATAACAGATTATAAAAAATGGGAGAAAAGTAATTAAAAAGAGTGAACAAACAAATGGAATATTCTGTAGATAAGGCAAAGAGAAAGTTTATCCTGTCCGGCTAACCATATCTAAAACATATATCTTTAATATTGCATTGCTTACCTACCTGATTAAAGCAACGCATTCTGCTTTCCGTTGCAATATTCGTTACTTCGTAATAATAGTTTTTAATTATGCTGGGCATTTAACAAGCTTTTATTAACAAACTGGCGAGCAGAAAGTGAAAATTTTCATTGTGCTCTTGCGTATGCTCGCAGGCTGGCCATATCAAATGTCCCGACTTGTTCCCTGCCACATTATAATGCGTATTACACATGCAATAAATTCACTTGAAACATGCATAAATTTATAGTGAGAAAAGTAGCGTTTTTTTTTTATTTTTTTTATATTTTATTTTTATGCTTGTACTTCATTAAAAAATAATTAAAAATTGTAAACGACATACAATTTTTGCCTGGCTTTGCGCAATTATTTATGTCGACATAAAGCACAAAATTAAATGGCAATAATTTGCTCGTGTCAACTATAAGTGTGCAGTAGATAAATTAAATGTAAACAAGAAAAATAAATTATAAAAATTTAACAATTTTAATTTAAAAGTTAAAGTTGCTGCGAGACAGGATAAAACAAAGAAGTGTGAAATCCTTTTTGCAGGGCGACAGCTGGCAAAACCGAAATTTCCCAGAAGCTATAAGAACAGCACAGACACCAACAACAGCAGCAACAACAACAGCAACAACAACACAAAGCACACAGCAAACAACCAACAACTGTCTCGATTCACGTTCAACGCCTTGGCTACAGTTTTATATGGTAAACAATTACGGTAAGTAATTTATTTCTGCTCAACTGAATTAGAAATCTCTTCGCACTAAGCCAATGCCAAAGCATTTGCTGAGACAGTCGCACTCTGTGTGCTTATGTGTGTGTGTGTGTCCTTGCGGGTGTGTGCGTGTCTGTTTATGAAGATACTATAAGATATGCAAGAAAATTAATAGTACTACATTTTTTACAACACGTTTGTCTCGTCTACTGGCGCTGCTAGTGCGATAATTCATTGCCTGCTGCTGCCGCTGCTGTGTTTTCTGCCTGCCACGCACTTCCTGCCAGACAGTCAGTTATCCTTCTGACCACCTCGGGACCATTCCGCCGCTGCAGCCCTCGCCCATATTCCTGCTATAATCGGCTTAGTCTGCGCTTACGGTTTGCTTTTGGTATTGCCTGCGCATTTGTATATGCGAGCATAGTTGCCTCTATGCCCTCCCCCAAGCTATCTCTTTTTCGCTGCCACTATGCCTGACCCTTCCCTTTCAGCCCACTCTGTTTATTTGCCCCAAAGGTGTTAAGTTGTTGTTTTATTGCATTTTATTTCATTTAGCCGTGAGCCCTTTATACACTTTCAAAGCAGGGCAAAGACTATTATGACTTCCTTGAGTAATTTTCTTAGGTTAAACGAGAATAAAACGTAATGTAGCACTTGATGCAAAACTAGGAAAATAATATGTCATTTCCATTAAAGTTTTACACAGTCGAGTCGAAAATTGAGGAACATTCTGCAAGGAATCCGACTTGATAAATTTTCCAATCCCAGATTTTCTACTTCTACTTCTGTAGCTTAGATGAAGCTCGAATTTAAGCTTCTATTGCTCTACATATATTTTATGAAATACATATGTAAAGCTCTTTTTTCTAGCAGTTGCGGACCAGGATTTCTTTCTTAAGGTCTTTGTTAAGGTCTCACATGTTAACATGTTAGACTTTCGACATTATCTGACGTATTATTCGATGTTTGATGACGCTTGAACATTAATGCAATTCAATTAGAGTAATGCACAAATTAATAGAAGTGTAGAATGGCAATGTTGGAGTTCAGTTGGTTTTCTAGACTTGCTTTGCAATGTCGTCCCTAAAATCGCATAAATGCACCCTGCTACTGCTGCTGGTGCTTTTGCTACCTGGCCAGTTGGACACGTATCGTAGAATATTGGAATCTGGAGGATCCTTTCTAGATGATATCATTCACAAAGTTCACAAAGAGAGGCCCATACAGACGTTGTTATTAACAAAACGTCTGCAAGATATCAGTTGTGTTATAGAGAATTTCAATCCCGTTGGAATACCAGCTTTGCGCCACGACGAATTGACCAAGATAAACGTAAAAGAGCTCTACAATAGCGAGGTACTTGCTCTGCTTTGCATGTCCGAGTTGGCAGACTTCATGCTGCTGACCACACTGGCGCAGAGCCTTCATCGCATAAGAGAATCACGTATTATTATCTTGTTGCACAGTGTGGAATCTAATTTACAGGAAATGCTGCGTTTAATCAGCAACCAAGCGAATGGGTTTAGTTTTGTCAACCTAATCGTACTGCACTCAACTTCGCATGATGTCAAAGCTTCGAGAGTTGCATATCGGATGCAACCATTTTCGAGTCCATCTTTTATCATCATGGATATCAACGAGAAACCAACATTTCCTACAGTCTGGCATAACTTCAACAGAAAAACGGCTGTCATATTACCTGATCTGTTCCCACCACGCAGCCTAATGGCCAGAGATCGTCGCACAAAA